TAGTCATCCATAGCTCTTGTCATAGAGTGGTTGAAGGGAGTCTTGATCGATGGTAACGGACTACGGACCATCGTTTGACCTACAGGCCGTAAGTAAGTCCGTTTTCCAAGACTAAAATAATTTTTCTAGGCTGCAATTTTGGGAGTTACTGATCCCATCGACGGTTGTGCAGGACGAACCGTGGTTCAGGCTATGGTACGTCGATGAAACCGTTGGTAGCACCTGCAAATTTTTCTGAAAAACTAATTTTTGTCATGTTTTGGCTACGGGATGTTACAATATCTCCCCCTTGGGAACATTCTTCCTCATATAAAGACTAAACTAGCTGAAATAGAGGGAGAGAGATGCAAACCCCACTACTAAACACTGAGAATTGAGTTCTGACTGAATTGAGTTCTAAGTACATGCAATTACGCTAAAAATTATAGTACAAACTGAGGGAACATGATTCTTAAACTGAATTACGCATGAATGATTGTAAAACTGAAGAGGAACTATTACCTCAAGCTGGAGTGGAATCGGAAGGAAAAAGGTAAGGATACTTGGCTTTCATGGCTGCTTCTGCTTCCCAAGTAGCTCCCTCTACGGACTGACTCCTCCACAAAACCTTGACTGAAGTTACTTCTTTATTTCTCAACCTTCTAACCTGATGGTCAAGAATCTTACCTGATACATCCTCATAAGAAACACTATCTTTCACCGCCACACTCTCTAATGACACTATAGAGGTTGGGTCACCCACGCACTTGTTCAAGAGTGAGATGTGGAAGACCGAATGCACTACTGCTAAATTTGGTGGCAACTCTAACTCAAATGCCACCTTGCCAATCCATTTCAAGATCTTGTAAGGGATTACATATCTCGGAATGAACTTCCCTTTCTTTCCAAATCTCATCACCCCTTTCATAGGTGAGACTTTCAGAAAAACCTAATCATCAAAATGGAACTCTAGTTACCTTCTCCTTACATCTGCATAAGATTTCTAATGACTTTGGGCTTTCTTAAGTGTATCTCTAATTAGTTCCACTTTGTCCATAGCATAAAGGACTGAATCTGGCCCTATCAAAGCTGTTTCACCTACTTTAAACCAACCAACAAGAGATCTACATCTACGCCAATATAAAGCCTCATATGGGGCCATCTGAATGCTGGAATGGTAGCTATTATTGTACGCAAACTCAATAAGAGGAAGTTGATCATCCTAACTCCCTTTAAAATCGATCACACAAGCTCTCAACATATCCTCTAAGGTCTGAATGGTACTCTCTGCCTGCCCATCCATCTGTGGATGAAATGTTGTACTAAGGTTAAATTGAGTATCAAGACCTTTAGCGGTAAATTGAGGACATCTATCTGAAATGATAGAAAAAGGAACCCCATGCAACCTCACAATTTAAGTAAGGTAAAGATTGGCATAGTACTCTGCCGAATATGTAGTCTTGACCGCCAAAAGCGAGAACCCTTAGGCATCCTATCAACTATCACCCAAATTGAGTCATGTTGTCTGCGAGTACAAGGTAACCCTCTGATGAAATCCATATTGATCACATCCTACTTCCAAGTAGGAATATAGATTTTGTGAGTCATACCTCCTGGTTTCTGATGTTCTACCTTGACTTGCTGGCAATTGGGGCACTTACTCACAAAGTCTACTATATCCATCTTCATGCCATTCGACCAATAGAATTCCCACAGATCGCGGTACATCTTAGTGGAACCTGGATGAATAGAATATTTGGAGTTATGAGACTCTGTAAGAATATGCTGCCTCAACTCTCCCACATCAAGAACACACAATCTACCTTGGTAGCAAAGTTTACCATCTCCCCCTTGGGAGAAAACCTCTACCCTCTGATTGTTGACTACACCCTTTAGTTCAAGAAAGATCGGATCACTCTCTTGATTTTTCTTAACCTCCACTACCAAAGACGATCTTGCCCCATTTTGAATTGTTACACGGCTGTCTGATATGCTCATAAGGAGAACTCTCAAGCGAGCAAGCCTGTGAACATCCTTCACTAGCTCCTTTCTTTTTTCCTCAACATAGGATGCACTACCCATAGATAATCTAGTAAGAGTATCGGCCTCTACATTCTCCTTTCCAGGATGATAATGCACACTCATATCATAATCCTTAAGGAACTCAAGCCATCTCCTCTAGTGAAGATTCAACTCTTTCTGGGTGAACACTTACTGAAGTCTCTTATGTTCAGTGAACACATCTACATGAGCACCATAAAAGTAGTATCTTCATATCTTAAGTGCAAACACCACTGCTGCACCTTAAGCTTTCTAGAGGCATAAGATATAACATTATCTCTTTGCATCAACACACAACCAAGGCCAACTCTGGATGCATCATAATAGATCACATAACCATCCGAACCCTCTGGTAGAGTCAAGACAGGAGTTGTAGTCAATCTAGTTTTCAATTCTTCAAAGCTTTTCTCACAATCATCTGACCATTGGAACTCGACCATCTTCTGAGTCAACCTAGTAAATTGTGAGGCTATGGGTGAAAATCCTTCCAGGAACCTTCTGTAATAACTTGCTAGACCTAAGAAACTTCTAATATCTGTAGCAGAGGTAGGTCTGGGCCATCGTTTCACTGCTTTTATCTTTTGTGAATCTACGCGGATCCCTTCACTAGATACAATGTGACCAAGGAAAGCAACGGATTGCAACCAAAAACCACATTTACTAAACATAGATAATTGGCAATCTTTGATACTATGCAGAACAACTCTCAAATGACTTGCATGTTCTTTCTCTCTCCTAGATTAAATGAGGATATCATCAATGAATACGATACCGAACAAGTCTAAGTATTGTTTGAACACTCTGTTCATCGAATCCATGAAAGCTGCAGGAGCATTGGTTAGTCCAAATGACATAACGACAAATTCATAATGACCATACCGAGTTTTGAAGGATATTTTTTGAATGTCACTATCTTTGACTCTGAGCTGTTGATAACCCGATCTGAAATCTATCTTTGAGAAATGACTAGCACCCTGAAGTTGGTCAAAAAAGTCATCAATCCTGGGGATGGGATACTTATTCTTGATTGGACCTTGTTCAACTGTCTATAGTCAATGCACATTCTGAGAGAACCATCTTTCTTCTTTGCGACCAATACTGGTGCAGCCCATGGTGAAATACTAGGTCTGATGAAACCCTTATCTAGAAGGTCTTTCAACTGCTCTTTCAATTCCTTAAGCTCTGCTGGAGCCATTCTGTAAGTAGGAATAGAAATAGGCTGGGTATCTTGAAGGAGATCAATTCCAAAGTCAATTTCCCTTTCGGAAGGAACTCCAGGAAGATCTTATGGAAATTCACAGACTACTGGAGCTGACTCAAGAGATGGGGTTTCAAGGGTAGAATCCTTAATCCGAACTAGATGATAGAGATAATCCTTATATATCATCTTTCTGGCCTTAAGGTAATAAATAAATCGACCCATAGGTATTAGACTACTACCCTTCCATTCTAAGATTGGTTCATCTGGAAACTGAAAACAAACAATCCTAGTTCTACAATTGAATGATGCATAACATGAGTGTAACCAATCCATGCATAGAATAACACCGAAGCCTACCATTCTAAATCTACTAGAGCTGTAGAGGTGACTTTCTGAGAGACTATGACAGGGCAATTTATGTATACCCGTCTATATATAACTAGGTCACCGACTGGAGTAGAGACTGAGAAGAGTTCTGTGAGAGTTTCTGTACTGACACTGAATTGGACTGCTATGTAAAGAGTTATAAAAGGCAAAGTTATGTCTCTTTCCTTTCCACTAAGTGAACCATGTGTGAGTCACATCCTTGAGTTTGTAGAATGCCAATCTCACCTATCACTATGAGTTACTGACATCACACCAAATATTTTCTTGACCTTATCTATGAACTTATGTGGGTCCTCACACAACTTAGGACCCTGAAACTCAGGTGAATCTTCCTAAACAAATGTCGAGTACTAGCTGCCACTGATCTTCCATTGTTATTAGTAGGAACTCAAACCTTTTGTTTTGTCCAGGTTGTCATACTTTTAGCCGAAAGCTGAACTTGCGTTCTGAAACTCTACATTAGAACTTCCTTATCTAGTACTAGATGAACTACGTTAGCATTGCGTGCATTATAAGTCCATGCCTAAGCTCGAAGAGGAGGCATGATCTAAAATGTTGAACGTCAAGCTAGAATGGAATAAGATCATATCTCACGCACGATAAGATTAACAAGAACGTGAAGTTTTTCCTAAAACACTTTATAGCCTCCCTAACATTAGATGTGGTGCACTTCACACCCATGAAAAGGACTCTACTTAGTGCGGCTTTTTCAGACACCTTAGGACTCATGAACCTAGTGCTCTGATACCAAGTTTTGTCACGCCACGAGCTACTCTCGATAAACCTATGTTTGAAATTTTGGAGGACATCCTCAAAATTTATGTCCCAGTTAAAGGTATCGGCTCATCTTTAAAATGTCGCTAAGAAAATCGTGGAATTTTTGAAATCCTCTAAAGAATTGTGTCCCTGTTGCAAATCTCAAAATACCTTCAGTCTTGACTTGTTGAGGAAAAATCTTCTTCATGAGAATTTTTGAGTCCCTCTCAAAATTCTGTCCCTGTTTCTATTGTAAAGAGGAATAAAAATCTTACTGGAATATGATCGAACCCTTGTGGAGCCTACGTATACCGTTGAGGCAGGAATCAGGTCAAACGTAGTACCCTTCAAGGATTAACAAAATAAGAACTTTACAAATAAACTGACCAAGGCCAATATAGGCCGCCTACGTATCTCATTCTTGAGAATTCAGGTCAAACGTAGTTCAAATACAAAGAAATATTTAAATGGGACAAAAGGGGTGACCGAGGACGATAGACCTCCTACCTATCTCATTCTTGAGAATACAGGTGAGACGTAGTTCATTACAAGAGGGATAAAATTGTAAACAAAGCGAATACAAGAAAAATAGAACAATAGAAATACAAACTAAGATTCACACATAGTATCTCTTGACATCATCTGAGTTGATCAGTTTCGGCCATGCGGTGTCATCCATATCTGACAGGACCAAAGCACCTCCAGATAATACTTTTCGAACCACGTAGGGTCCTTGCCAATTTAGTGCAAATTTTCCTTTGTACTCATCCTTGTGAGGGAAAATGTGCTTAAGTACTAACTGACCGATTTCAAAATTTCTAACTCTTACTCTCTTGTGGAATGCACCAGTCATCCTTTGTCGATATAACTGTCTATGACAAACAACAACCATTCTCCTCTCATTAATCAACGTTAATTGACCAATGCGCTTGCTGACCCACTTAGCATTACTTAATTCTTCTTCTCGGATGATTCTCATAGACGGTATCTCAACTTCAGTTTGTATGACTGCTTCTGTTCCATACACCAGCAAAGTATGGAGTAGCTCCACTTGACATTCTGACAGTCGTTCGATAACCCAATAAAGCATATGGAAACATCTCATGCTAACATCGATGATTGTCAATCATTTTCCTTAGAATCTTCTTGATGTTCTTCTTGGCAGCCTCTACATCTACGTTCATTTGAGGGCGATAACCAAATGAGTTTCGGTGAGTAATCTTGAGTTGCTCACATATATCTCTCATCAAGTGACTGTTAAGATTTTTACCACTGTCAGTAATGATGGATTCTAGTACCCCCAACCTGCATATCAAATTGTTGCGAACAAAATCTTTTAGAACTTTCTTGGTTAGAGACTTCTACGAAGGTGCTTCCACTCACTTAGTGGAGTAATCTATAGCAACCAAAATGAATCTGTGTCCATTTGAAGAGGTTGACTCTATCGGACCGATGACATCCATACCTCAAGCTTCAAATGACCAATGTGAACTCATAGCATTAATTTCGTGAGGCGGCACTCGGATCAAATCACCATGCACTTGACATTTATGACACTTCTGCAAAAACTTGCACAATTATTCTCCATTGTAATCCATAAATAACCGGCTCGAACGATCTTTCTTGCCAAGGTGAGCCCATTCATATATGTGCCACAAACTCTAACATGTATCTATTCAATAAGTTTCGTAGCTTCGACAACATCGACACATCTTAGAAGACCCAAATCTGGAGTCCTCCTATACAATTATTCTTCCACTTAGAAAGAAATTTAGATCCATAAGGCGTATTTACTTCTTCTGGTTGGATGTAGCATATTCAGGATAATTTCAAGACTCCAAATACTTCTTTCTATCAAAATACCATGGCAAATCGCCTGGTTCCGCCTCAACATCTCAACTATGTATTGGATGTTCTTTCAGCTCTATGTCCAGAGGATCAATATAATAAGTATCTGGATGCTTAATCATCGACGCGATGGTGGCAAGGGCATCAGCCAACTCATTCTGTATTCTAGGAGTAGGTATGAACTCGCTCATGCGAAATCTTTTGCACAACTTCTGTACATACAGTACGTAAGGTATAATCTTCGGGTTCTTCACGGCTCATTCTCCTTGAACCTGACGAATCAACAAATCTGGGTCTCCAAAGACCAATAGCTCGTGGACATTCATGTCGATGGCAATTTTCAAACCAAGAATACAAGCTTCGTATTCGTCCATGTTGTTCATGCAATTAAATCGGAGTTCAGCCGCCATAGGATAGTGTTGACCAGATTCTACCACTAAGACTAATCCAATACCGTTATGTTGATATATGACGCTCCATCAAAGAATATCGACATCAATGTCCACGAGCTATTGGTTTTCAGAGACTCAAATTTGTTTATTCATCAGGTTCAAGAAGAATGTACAGAAGTTGTGCAAATTATTTAGCATGAGTGAGTTCATACCTACTCCTGCAATACAGAATGAGTTGGTTGATGCCCTTGCCACCATCGCTTCGATGATAAAGCATCTAGATAGTGATTATATTGATCCTCTAGACATAGAGCTGAAAGAACATCCAGTACATTGTTCACATGTTGAGGCGAAACCTGACGGTTTGCCATTGTATTTTGATATAAAAAAGTATTTGGAGTCTTGAAATTATCCTGAAGATGCTACATCCAACCAGAAGAAGTCGATACGCATATAAATCTAAATTTCCTTCTAAGTGGAGAAATCTTGTATAGGAGGACTCTAGATTTGGGTCTTCTAAGATGTGACGATGTTGTCGAAGATTCAAAACTTATTGAACAGATACATGCTAGAGTTTGTGGCACGCATATGAATGGGCTCACCTTTGCAAGAAAGATCCTTCGAGCCGGTTATTTATGGATGACTATGGGGAATGATAGTTGTAAGTTTGTGCCGAAGTGTCATAAATGTCAAGTGCATGGTAATTTGATCCTCACGAACTTAATGTAATGAGTTCACCTAGGCCATTTGTAGCTTAGGATATGGATGTCATCATTACGATAGAGTCAGCCGCTTCAAATGGACACAAATTCATTTTAGTTGCTACTGATTACTCCACCAAGTGGGTGGAAGCACCTTCGTACAAGTCGGTAACCAAGAAAGTTGTAACAAATTTTGTTCGCAACAATTTGATAAGCAGGTTTGGGGTACTAGAATCCATCATTACTGATAATGTGTGAATCTTAACAGTCACTTGATGAGAGATATATGTGAGCAACTCAAGATTACTCACCTAAACTCAACTTGTTATCGCCCTCAAATGAACGGAGCTGTAGAGGCCGCCAATAAGAACATCAAAAAGATTATGAGGAAATGATTGACAATCATCGAGGTTGGCATGAGCTGTTTCCATATGATTTATTGGGTTATCGAATGACTTTTAGAACGTTGACTGGAGCTACTCCATACTTGCTGGTATATGGAACAGAAGCAGTCATAAGGTTGAAGTTGGGATACCGTCTTTGAGAATCATCCAAGAAGCAGAATTAAGTAATGCTGAGTTGGTCAGCAATCTCATGGATCAGTTAATGTTGATTGATGAGAAGAGAATGGTTGTCGTTTTTCATGGACAATTATATCGACAAAGGATGATTCGTGCACTCCACAAGAGAGTAAGAGTTACAAATTTTCAAATCGGTCAGTTAGTACTTAAGGGCATTTTTCCTCATCAGGATGAGTACAAAGGAAAATTTGCACTATATTTGCAAGGAACCTACATGGTTTGCAAAGTATTATTTAGATTTGCTTTGGTCCTGTCATAGATGGATGACACCGCATGGCCGAAACCGATCAACTCTTAGATGTCAAGATATACTATGTATGAGCTTAGTTTGTATTTCTATTGTTCTATTTTGCTTCCATTTGCTTTGTTTAAAATTTTATCCCTCTTGTAATGAACTACGCTTGACCTGAATTCTCAACAATAAGATACGTAGGCGGCCTATGTCGTCCTCAGTCACCCCTTTTATCCCCTTTAAATATTTATTTGTATTTGAACTACGTTCTACCTGAATTCTAAAGAATGAGATACGTAGGCGGCCTATGTCGTCCTTGATTGGTTTATTTGTAAGGTTTTTATTTTTTTAATCCTTGAAGGGAACTATGTTTGACCTGATTTCTTCCTCAACGGTATACATAGGCGCCACAAGGGTTCGATTGTATTCCCGTAAGATTTCTATTCCTCTTTACAGTAGAAACTAGGACATATTTTTTGAGAGGGATTTCATGCCTCACAGAAAAGTTATGATTTAGCATCGATGTATCGTTCATACAAGTACTTTTTATATATAAGATAGAGTATTTGAAGAACTTTACAAACAAAAAACTAGCGATTTGGACAGTTGGCCCCAAGTCTTGCTCAAGCACCTTAAACACAACTAATACATTATCGATCATATTTAAGGATATACACTAAGCTCATGTTATCTCCTGGATTGTCTTGTTTAGGTCGATATGATCCTCCGTATTAATTATTTACCCATACCATCCACAGTTTGTCCTTTTTTCTTGCATAAGTTTCATACTAGGTTTTCAAGAATCACTTTCTTGTATACCTCTAGGAAATTCACAGCTCCAACGGATTTGGGGCAACATAACATTTCCAAAGAAATCTATACTTTTTAGGGGCATAAACATATTAAGTTCATAAAAACCTTTTGCACATTGAGCCAATGAATTGTACGATCTTCTTAGGTTGTGAGAAAACTTGTGACTAGAATATTTCTATGGAAAATAAGATACATTTGCCTAACTGAAAATCTAGTGTTCTAACTTAAAATTCTTCTCAACACATTTTTTAAATTAGGAAAGACTAAAAAATGAGTAAAATCTTTCCCTCGGATAATGATTGAATAAATAACCCTAATAATAGACTACATTATCAAGCTAACTATTAAAATTCGAAGAAACTTAAGTTCACTTTAAGTTTGTTGGAGCAAATAGGTTAATAATATTTCTTTATGTATGTTTTTACCATAGAACCTTTTTTACATGCCCTTCCTATTTTTGATATCATTATTGATAGCTCTTCTTGTAACAAAGTTATATGATATATTTGCACCTGTTATTAAAATCATCACATGTGACAATCTTGTTATGATCATCTTTTATATGATATTTTATTATATATAAATACTCCTTTAAAAAAGTAAATATTTATCCACTATGAAACATTTTTTGTTAACCTACTATACAATGCATTAATCAGCAAAATGCATACACACTTAACACATACCAAATCATAAATAAGTTTTTTTTTCTTTTATACATAACGAAATTGAATTAGATATTCCACGTAAAAAAAAATCTATTTTCTATGATAAATAATTAATTAGTTGATTGCATAAAAAATTTATTTTGTGCAGAAAATTGAAGAAACCTCTACAAGTGGCACACAAAGCTTTCAAGGGCACAAGTCTGACTCGACTTTGGAAAAAGCTACGAGCATTACTGAGAATCTTGCCAATCAAGATGTGGAAAAAGATAGGTGATGTCGTATTATAAATGTTTATATATTTAAACAAATTACTTTTTAGGCGATTTTTGATAATTATTGTTGAAGGAAACTCTATAACAATCCATATGAACCCTTTTTTTAAAAAAATTAAATTCACCTTTCAAGTAAGTTAAAATTCTAAGAAATTTATACTATCAATTTTACCTATAAACATTGTGTTCAATTTCTAAGATGCGTATTGATTTTTCTATATTGTAGGGTTCATTTCAATGACAATGACGGGACCTAGGGAACACTGCAATTTGCAATGAAGAGGAATTGAAGATCATAATTTATGTAGATTATGATTTTAAGAAAGTTTATTTTGATGACGTAAAATGATATTTGATATAGTTTTTTGACGATCATTTCCTAGTGATGAAATAAGAGAGAACATAAGAAGTTGGAGCACATTTCGACATTACAATCTCGTTGTGTTTTAATTTACATAGTTTCAGCTCGCGTGTCTTGCACGTATAAGTTGAGCTATCGGTACACTACTTTTTAAATATTTATCTATTAAATTATGTCTTTGACTTTATATATGAAAGACACAAAATAACACACAAGTTTTTGTTAATATGATCATAT